CGTCCCTCCTGAATGCACCCCGTAAGGGAGTGAGGAGGTTTGAATGGGAGAGCCAGGTCGTCCTCAGGACAAGCCTGGTCTCCCAGCCGGGTCCTCCCCCGAGGAGGACAGGCCACAGGGAAGAGGCCAGAGCCGGAGGCGCCCACCCTCGCCAAGAGGAACGGCCCCCTAAGACAAGGGAATGGCTCCTTTCGGGGGGGGGGGCAACGAGTGGAAGGCGAGGCTGGCAGAGGACCTTTCTCCAGCAACAGACGCGGCACTCGAGCAGACGCTTACTCTTGCTCACAAACACACACACACGCACACACCCGTTGTTGCCCCTTTCACACACACCCCGGTGGCCTAACAGGCCTGGCCCGAGGCCCCTTCCCTGGCTCGGCTGGGCCCCCCCCCCCCCGGGTGGAGAACAAGGGCTGGCCAGCCTCCAGGGAGACCAAGCACTTCTGTCCATCAACAGTCTATGGATTGCCTTTTATTGTGCCCCCGATTAGGCTGGAACATCTTTGCCCTCTTATCTCCCAGGTGATAAGATGGGGGTGGGGGGTGTTGCTTCCAATAAGACATAAATCATAGCTGGAAGCCCCACCTCCCACCCCATCCCTCCCTTTGGCCCAGGAGGAGAAAGGGACTCTCGGCTTCTGGAGAGAACACAGGAAGAAAAAGAGAGAAAGAAAGAGCGATTTCCTTACATACAGTTTAGAAACTCTAGAGTGCCCGTCTCTCAAAGCTGGGTTCCAGAGCAGGGCGCCAGCGGACATCCATCAAGAAGCCTTATTGCTACACAGTCAGCAATGAGAAGAATCCCTCCGTTGCCACCAGGAGAAAACAGACGGGCAACCAGCGATTAAAGGAGGGAATGAGTCAAACAATCCTGCCAATTAAAATACCCGGGCAAGGAGATCAGATTTGACCTGGTTCCAAATAGCTTGTGATCCTGGCATCCATGGTGGCTCCCCAGGAGGGCGTTCCAGAGGCAGGCCCCAGACGTCACACCCCCTGCCACCACCACCCCCGCGAGGACCTCCTGCTTTGCGCCTCCAGAGTAACAGCGGCACAGAATTTGAGATCCGGGAAGGAACCCACATTTCTGGCAGCTGGCAGAGACCCTCGGGGGCACCCTGGGCAGCCAGGCCCTGCGGGCAACGCCCAGAGAGGCTGGAAATGCCACCCGGGGATGGTGCACCACACTTGCGGGTGTTTGTGGGGGGAGGCGCGAGTGAGTAGTCTTGGCGAGAGAGACTTTCCACCTCCTTGCCTTCAGTCGCCTCTCTCTGGGAGCCGCCAACATCCCCCCCCCGGACAACTTGCCAGGGCAAAAGCCCCCCTCAGCTCTGCAGGGCTCTTGGGCTGCCCCGACAGCTCCTGGTCTCCTTCTTCCCCAAACGGGAGAGGGCTGCATATGGGGAACGCCCCCCCACACACCCCTTTTCCTTGAGGCAGATGAGCTGCGTGGCAGAGCCCACAGGAGATGGTGGCACAGAACTGCCTCTCTGAGCCCCCCCCCCATCTAACAGGTGCCATCTTACCCTGGCAGGTGAGCAGCTGTCTTGCCCCCCCCCCCGGTGGTGGAGCCCAAAGTGAAGTCGGGACGCTACAAGGAGGCCACGATGACCAGGGCAC